GAATCCGGTGTTTATCTTGCTCTGCTATTGAAGTATGGCAACTTGAACCGATGCATATATGTGCCTGGTCCTATGTTGTAGCTGACTGATTGACTGACTGACTGGGTGTGGTTAGTAAACACTAATCTTTAACCATTATATCATTTTCCAATATATATCAATAAGTTGTAATAGCCGATTTAAAGATGAAAAGAAATCGGAAATAATCTGTCATTGTTATATAAACATTCCAGCTTATCGTATTTCTTTATCCTTCGGCTAATAAAAAAAAAGAAAAAGGAAAATAATATTCATACTTTTACGGAAAAAAACGTGTTTGTTTTATAAAAAAAAACAACTTAAGAAAAATTTAGAAGGGGGGGATGGTGGTGATGGAGGGGGGATATGAGAAGAAATGTAATAAAGGAACAGTTCATTTTTTCTTTCCAAACATTAAATGAGAAAACATTTTAAGCTTTATGATAGAGACTATTGTTATCATCTAATAGAATGTATGGCGTCATGTTATATGATTCTCAATATCTGGAATTACATTCAAACAATAGAAATAACTGTAATGTTTAAACGTTTGTCAACCGGATGAAGTTTGACTTTACCAATACACATTGTTGTTATGTACATAATGATTGTGTATGTTCAGTGTTTTTGTTTTAACCCACTAAAGGGGAGATGAATAGAGATTTAGAGAAAACAAAACAAAACAAAATATTACTATGGGATATATTTAAATGATTTTATATGGTGAATATTTAAATTTGTTCATGAAAATAAGAATATGATATGAAAATTGAAAATATCAATGGATTTTTTAAGTTGCTTCTAAACATTTTGAGGCAGGATCGCGAGGCGGGATCGTGGATGAGCACTGTTGAGGAGTCTCACAGTAGAAAGAAACGACCGTTATACGCTTCCAGGTTTTCTATGATGGTCTAGATTCAATTGACTCATGATCTCAACTATAATATCCATAGGAACCCATTCTGATATTAATGAACATATACTCACTAGTGACTGGCTTCATGATGTATATCCTGGAGTTCTAGTGAAAAGCGGTGACCAAGGTAGTTTAATTGGGTTTGTTGTGAGATACTAACTCACCGAAGACAATCGTGGTTGTGTCTCTTAGTTTTGTGGATTAGTTGGTGTTAGACATTAAGTGTTGGATGCCGACCGGCTCAGTGGTATAATGATTAAGCGCTCGCGCGCGAAACTGACAGGTCCTGGTTTCGAATCACACGAACCGGATCGTGGATGCGCGCTGCTGAGGAGCACCATACTGGGATGAGAAAGCCGTCCAGTACTTCGAGGTTTTCCATAGTGGTCTAGCTTCAACTGACTCATGAATTCAACAATTAAAGAATACCTATGAATCTTTCTAGTTACTTTTTTTTGGCTACAATCAAATTTTTTTACAACAAAATGATATCAATACAAAAATGAGTCGTATATTCTTATATTAGAAAACAAAACAGAAAACAATCATTAGTCAATCTAATTAATCTTTGAGAATCATATTCCTTTCATTGTTTGGCTAGCTCCAGTAACCAACCTACTTCGATGATTGTGAAATTCGAAATTTCTATGTCAATAATTGCAGGACAATGAAGGACCTAAGTATTAGAATAAATTCTTGTCTGCCATGTTAGAATTAATATGGATAATATTGTAGTGGATGTTGCTCAAAAGATTGTTTATAAATAACGTGCAACGGAATGTGACGTCTAGGTTGTTATAATTATCGAATGTAGTACAGCTTTGGAAGAAGATTTAGAGACCAGACAAGAATACTATTCATATGACAGAACACACCGAAAGCTGTTAATTGAAGATTGAAAGTTATGTATAATATATTATATAAGTTCTTCGTAACTTCTTACATTAAATGCATTCTTTCTGTCTGTTGTCGTGCTTTACAACATGAATATACAGTACAAGCTGTGAGTTATATGAAAGGAGATTCGAACACATCACTTCTACTTGAATTCTGTGATTATGAAGATATCGTTCACAAGAAGGATGAAAGCTCCACGACCAAACCATTCAGTTAAGAGAACAAAACTCTATCAACATCATCCACCTGAGCTACAAATCTTCTCCACCATTTCAGGATACGATATATTTTATCACACTGTATGTTAGTTATATGCATAACCCATGTGAATAACAATACTTCATTTTAGAAGTTCACCATTTTGACACAGTCTAACCCCAGAAGTATGACTGTACATCATGATTCATTCAATTATTACACTTATCATTAGCGTTTAATGTATGTTTTACTCTCAATTTATTTATGAATGACTATATTTACTGCATATTCTTGTACTAATTATAGCGGATTTACATTTTAGATACAGGATCATGTTTTAATAAACAAGTTTCATTTATTTCGATCGTGGTCGAAACACAGATCTTGTGATTAGATTACTTACTTACTTATTTACTTACTTACTTACTTACTTACTTACTTACTTACTTACTTACTTACTTGCTTACTTACTTATGCCTGTTACTCCCATTGGAGCATAGGCTGCCGACCAGCATTCTCCATTAAACTCTGTCCTCCATCTTTCTTTATAATTCTATCCAATTCTTGTTCGTTCTTCTCATGTCTGTCTCCATTTCTCGGAGTAATGTGCTCGTTGGTCTTCCTCTTCTCTTTTATTTCCCATTGAGGATTTCAAGTGAGAGCTTCCTTCGTCATGCAGTTGGGTGCTTTCCTCAATGTGTATCCTATCCACTTACAGCACTTCTTTCTCATTTAATCCTCCGTTGGAATCTGGTTTGTTCTTTCTCACAATAGGCTGTTACTAATAGTGTATGGCCAACGTATCTGAAGCATTTTGCATAGACAATTGTTAATAAACATTTGTATCTTCTGGATAGTGGGTTTCGTAGTTCTCCAAGTATCCACCCCATACAGTAGTACTCTCTTGATAATTGTATTGGAAATTGTGACTTTGGTGTTGGTTGACAATTGTTTTGTGTTCCAGATATTCTTCAATTGTAAATATGCTTAAATTTAACAGATGACATGTTTACAATATACAGTCAAACACATACACACACACCAACACACATACTATTATGTCAAAATATCAAAAACAAATGTTCTCTTGGGTTTCACTATACATTATTTATTCATTAATAATAATAATAATAACATTCAAATTTGTTAGAATAACATATTCTTCACAATTGTTGATGTCTACTAATAATCCCTATTTAAGTAGCATATTTAAGTGAAAGAAATAATCCAATGTTTTGACAAAACAAACAAAATATGTTTATTTTTCATAAACTACTAATTACTGTCAAATTAAAATGAAAAAAAACAAATAAAACAAACAATAACATAACAAATTATAACCATTCAATTAGGTATCATTAACATCACCATTCATTGTGTATCTTTCCGAATGGTTAAATATCAATAATAATAGTGGAGATAGTTGATAGATTATAAGTAGTATGTTTAAAGTTACGAATCAGTTGATTAAAAGATGAATAAAGATATTATGAATACACTATTTGTCTTGATGAAAAAGGTATTTCAGAAGGTGTTTTGTGTAGATTGTAGTAATTTGAATAGGTGAAATCATGAGTCGATTGAAGCTAGCCCGTCGTGGGAAACCTGGAAATACTGGATGTCCGTTTCGACATACTGTGATACTCCTTAGCAGTGCGCATCAACGATCTTGCCCTCGTGCGCTTCCAGGTTTTCTATGGTGGTCTAGATTCAATTGACTCATGATCTCAACTATCAAAATTACTATAATACCCACAAAACCCCTTCTGATATTAATTAACATATACTCACTAGTAACTGGCTTCGTGATGTATATCCTTGAGTTCTAGTGAGAAGCAGTGACCAAGGGAGTCTAATCGGGTCTGTTGTGAGATACTAACTCACTGAAGACAATTGAGGATGTGTCTCTCAAGTTTGTGAATTGGTTGAAGTTAGACATTAACAGTGTTGGATGTCGACCGGCTTAGTGTTCTAATGGTTAAGAGCTCGCGCGCGAGACTGATGTATCCTGTGTTTGAATCTGGCAATGCGAGATCGTGAACGCGCACTGTTGAGGAGTCCCGTACTAGAACGAAACGGCCACCGGGTTTTCTATGGTGGTCTAGATTCGGCTGACTCATGGTTTCAACTATTGAAAAAGGTGTAGACAGTTAGTAGATGTGTAAATGAATTATATAATTGTTAATAGTGAAATTGATAGGTAATACTTCTGTATTTGTCAATACTACTTATTCTTATCAGTAATAGTTAAGTTGGAAGTTTCAATAGATACTAAAATGAAGTATGAATTTTGATATTTAATCGTTGATATGAACTATAAATTGTGTAATCTATGTAATTTTTGATTTTGTTGGAAGTGTATCCTTTGATTATAATGAACATTTGCATAAAATTGATTTATTGTATTAATTTTATTATGAAATCATTACAATGAATAGATTAACAACTCCATAATCATTTTACATTTCATTGTTTATAATGAGATGCAGACAGTAATTCTGTATAATTTAATAGTTGAACTCATTAGTCAATTGAATGTAGACCACTATGGGAAATCTAGAATCACTGAACAGCCATTTCGTCCTAGTATAGGACTCCTCAGCACTGCGTATCCATAATCCCAGCTTCATGGAATTCAAACCTAGGACTTATCGATCTCGCGCACGAACGCTTAACCTATAGACTACTACTAGTATTCATCTTTAACTTCAACCAATCCACAAAATTCGCGCCACTATCCACCATGATAGTCTAGCTTGAATTAACTCATGAATTCAACTATTAAATTACTAGAATCTTCACAACCCCCCCCTCCCTTCTGATAATAAATATTTGATCCTAAATATAAACACAATAGTAACGATGTAATTAAATTATTTTTTTAGTTAAACTCCTTATCTGATTGGTCATTTCACCTCCACTTGTGATTGGTTAATTATCACATAAATATTATTATTATTATATAATGGAAATCCTGGAAACAAGTCCCTTATTATAATTTGATCAGTCAATTGTATATTTGTCATGGAGATTATTTATCAACCATTCAATAAAAACCTTTATTATATAATCATTAATCTATTTAGTATCCAATTTAATTTATCTTATCAACAATTGTATCCAACTGATTTTCAATCATTAAATTTAGGTTCATGTATTAAAAATGATGGTGATCTATTTTGTCAAATGTATAGACGTAATAGTTTTTGTTCAATTCAACATGATGAATGTTTTTGTTTACCAGGATATGTATCAATTTATGAAATGAATGATAGTTGGTATACATGTAAACCATGTAAGTGAATTATAGTTTGATTTATTTTAATTAAGTTTATGTAATTATCGAGAAGAAAAAACAGTATAATGTTGTTACTACTTATAAGGGTTTCAGTAGTTGAGATCATGAGTCAATTATAGCTAGAGCAACATGGAAAACGTAGACGTACTGGATATCCGTTTCTACATGTTGTGGGACTTCTCAGCAGTGCACATTCACGATCCGGCCTCGTGAGATTTGAAACCAGGGACTATCAGTCTCGCGAGCGAGCGCTTAATCATTATACCACTGAGCCGATGAGCATCCAACACTGTTAATGTCTAAATTCAACTAATCCACAAAATTAAGTGACACATCCTCATTTATCTTCAGTGAGTTAGTATCACACAACGGACCTGGTTGAACTCCACTGGTCACTAAAACTTTAGGATATACAGCACGAAGCCAGTCACTAGTGAGCATATGTTGATTAGTATCAGAAGGGGTTTTGTGGGTATTATAGTAATTTCAATAGTTGAGATCATGGAAAACCTGAAAGCACTAGACGTGGATTCGCATTGCTGAGGAGTCCCATACTAGGACGAAACGGCCATCCAGTGCTTCCACGTTTTAAATGGTGGTCTAGCTTCAATTAACTCATGATCTCAACCACTGAAATAATAAAATGACTCTAGAATATACATCTTAAAGCCATTCAGTAGTCAGCATATGTTGATTAGTGTCAGAAGGGGTTTAGCGGAGATTGTTTATCATACTTATCAATCAATATCTGCCGACGTAAATGAGCCTCCTGAAAGAGTGCTTTGACATTTGTTATTTTTTATGGGGAAACTAGTGTAGGAACTTAGGATGTTCAACTTGAATCGTTTACTGTTTCTTTGTATATCGTGATTTGGAAGTTTAATGAGTAATGATCTAGTATCTGAAGCAAAGATCTCTGGATTTCACTGTTGGTGTACGATTCCGTACAGATGTAATGAATATTTAGCCAATATATTTTAACAAAATGGAATATATGTCATAAGTGTTACTGTTAGTTGTTTACTATTACAAATCTATATATCAATTAGGACAGTTAGACAGTTATCTAATACCCCTTACTTCAAATTAAGGGTAGATGGTCTCTTTACAATGACAACATACTTAAACTATCTCGGTTAATTCTGAATATTCAATAAATTAACAAATTTACTTCCCTTCACTAAAAATTAGTCTACATAAACACTTATTTCATTACTTCATAACCACTTTTTTCCAGCTTCATATAACAGACTGATAAATTACTGATATACTGTCTATTCGTTATACTTCACTTATGAACTCCACATTACTTTCTAACTTCACTTATCATCAGAACTTGACAAAAAGCATACAGGAATGAAGCTTACTCAGAACTAACCAGAAAAACTAGAGATTACAACGAATAAATATTTTCAGAATGAGGGTTTGTGAACATTTTAGTCAATTTAAGCTATACCACCATAGAAAACCCGAACGCACTTCGTGGCCATTTCGCCCTAGTACAGGACTCCTCAACAATGCATATCCACGATTCTGCTAGCGCGATTCAAACCTAGGACCTTCGGTTTCATGCGCGAACGCTCAACGTCTAGATTAATAAATATTTTACACTTTTAATTTTCCTACTAGTAATTAGCTTGATATATTCGACAGCATTTTGTAATGATGATAAATCACAAGAACTCTCTGTCGATTATCTCTAAACAACTGATAAATGCTAAACGATTCATAACATTATGCCTCTTCAATTATCATTACGACTAGTAAATGTCTCTATGCAATCAGAAAGAACATAGAGTTCATTTGATCGCCAGACTTTAGTATTCTTCTCTTAACCGCTTGTGTTATCAACAAACCAATCCATGAAACTGGTTGAAGTTAGACATTAACAACGATAGATACCGACTCAGTGGTTTAGGAGCTAAGTGCTTTCACGCGAGACCGGATGTCCTGAGTTCACTTCCTGTGAGTGGGATCGTGGATGCGCACTGCTAAGGAATCCCATATTAGGACGAAACGACTGTCAAGTGCTTCCAGGTTTTCTATGGTGGTCTAGCTTTAATCGATTCATAAATTCAAGTATTAAAGAAATCATAATATATAAAATGATCATTTGTCTTGCCCAAAATATTTACATCTGAATGATTTAAATCTTCAATAAACAAATTCGTTATACTTAACAACTATGACTTTACGTTTGCAAAGTGTATTCGATCTAACAATTGACCTCATTATTTATTAAATATTTTCCTAAAAAAGATTGGTAAACAAAATGTTTACCTTGGATACTAAGGTGTATATTGAAACATTTATTCAATTGTGTTTTATTGTATACCCTAAAACATCTATATTACTACCACTCTACAGTTACTGATTTTCGGATATATAGAAATCTAGTGATGCAAATTTTATATTAAGTATAGAAATCAAAGATCATTCATTGACCTAAAAGTTCGTTAAATGTCCATGTAAAAAGATTAAACTTTTAATGTTTGATCTATTATCGTTATCGAATGTTCAGAGATATTGATTAACAAAGGTTCTGATTAGTACGAAATACTCTAACAAGAACGCTTAATCTATAGACCGCTGTGCCGTTGTCCAACGGTGTTAATGTCTAACTTCAACCGATTCACGAATTGGTCGCTAGGTCCTGGGTTCGAATCCCGCGAATGGGACCATGGATGCGCTCTGCTGAGAAGTCACATAGTAGGATGAAACGACCTTCCAGTGCTTTAAGGTTTTCCATGGTGGTCTAGCTTCAATTAACTCACGAATTCAACTATTAACTTACTAAAGTCTTCACAAACCCCTCTTCTGAAAGAAATGAATCGTTTGTACATGGAAACTTTAAAATAAAACAACACTCATAATATCACATAAAATTAATTACTTAACAATGTTATTTGTTATTAATATTAAGATACGATGAAGATGTACGTAGATATCTCATGAAACATAAATAATGTTAACCGATCAGTACTTTCGAATAAATTCGAAAATCCACTTCATTTGGATTGGCGGTTAATAGATTAAATGACACCAACGGCAGCCCCTTTGGGGTTACTGACGGTCCCAAGCTCGGATGAAAGAGAAGGATTGCGTATGGAGTTACCGACCCCATCCCGTAGAAAACTAACTAACTAAAATACACTAACCAGAAAAAAATTTAATAGATTAAATATTCAGGTTGTTACTAATTCTAACATCATTTTCGAAATTTTAGAGATATTTCAGGTATTTCATGTTGATGAGCGTCAACTAGTGAAAACGGCAAGTTTATAACTTTCTATCTGTTACTTCCAAAGAATCATACAGTATGTGATGATGAGTCATTTACACTGATCACCACATTGCAACTTGATTGATATTATCCAATCTTAACTGACGACAATAAGCATTGTGAGGCTGATCATTAGTATAAATCAAGGATTACCACGTAGAAATCTTCAGTAAAAAGCATACAAATAACCTCATATTGTAATTCATTTGTCGTTCATCACGAAATGACATCAGCTAAAATATTAAGACTCTATTTAGCCAAATAGATAAAGAATTTCTCACCGAAATCCAAGACCTGTTATCATAAATCTGATTGTTTCATCCAAAAATTATAGTCTCGCCGGTTTTTATTGTGTCAAAGAATAAACCCAAGTAAAGATAAACTAATCATAGATTTCTCGTTAGGATGCTTTGTGCTTTTCATAAATACTTGAATGTTTTTATTTATTTAAACACATGAACATTGGTACAAGAAAGCACCGAATAGATATGCACCAAATAAATCATTCGATTTATGGGAGGGCTGTGATACTGACAGGGTGCCCAAACTGAGACAGGTGCTTTTCTTAGGGGGCCACACCCAGAACATTCGATCTACAATTCTAATCCACAAGGCAGTGGAGCAACGTAAGGAGATACAATCCCATCAAAGCCGGTGATCAACAATTAGTTCATACGCCATTTGTTCCCTCAGAATCCTGGAACTCATGTACACCAATGGTTCAGAATCAGGGTTTCCCAACTCCCCTAGGTAGATGTTCCGTGTCCATCAACCCGATTAAAGCACCGGACATTCGGTTTTCGTCCTCTCAATTTCGTAAACAACACCCCGTGGTCACGAGAAGACAGTGAGTAGAACTTCTCTGATAGTGGTTGAATGCACGTGACCATATGAGAGCATTTGTAGATGGAGAGCTAACTCTCCAAACTCTCAGCCATTTGGGGGCATGTATAATAGACAATCTACTTAGAAAAAAATAACCAGTTAAAACAAATATAAAACTGGAATAGTTCATATCATGTTTAAGCAGTTGAAAAACAAAAAGAAGAAATAGACAACTTTTATTCAAAAGAGATTTACAATCCAAACTGATCTATTCATAATATAATATGTAAAAAAAGAAAACAAGTTTGCCTGGAACCCCGCTGAAGCTACCGCCAATCCCAAGCTTGGATAAAGGAAAAGGGTTAAGTGTATGGTTAGCGACCCCCATCCCGTAAAATAACTAACTCTCCAAAAAAGAAAAACGCTAACCAGTAAAAAATTAATTCAAAAAAGAAAACCACTAGTCGGATAAATCTTAAATTCAGTTCATTAAATGGCATTATAAATTTTAAACAAAAAGTCCTATTTAAGTAGTATCCAATGTTCTGTAAGAATCGTAATTGTGCAATTGTGCAATAAATGACAATTTTGACATTTTTAAAAAAAACCTACAAGACAATAAGATGAATATTGGTAACAATTGGCACACATTTATTCATTATGGTATAGTTGTGATCTTGTCAAAAATTTAGAATAAAACATGATGTATTTTATAACTTGGTTTGTTTTCTCTTAGGTTTTAATAATTAAACTGTAATAATATGTTGTTATGCTACTGATATCGATAGATATAAGTAGTATATATATCATCAATCGAAAATGAAATAGCTGAAGGTAGAAGGTTAAGAAGATTAAAGAAAAGAGAATGAGAATAGAGAGTAATTGGTGT